CATTTATGATGCCTATTTATTAAGTGAGGAAGGAATATGTAGAAGTGATTCCATATGCTCTGCCAATTCAAAAGAAGTTTGAAAGAATATTCTATTGTAATGATTTTGAATGTGTAGCCTTCATAACTGTAGATCTTTGCCATTGGCTCTTGTAGCGAGGTAGATTCTGGGACAGACAAAGTTCGTTTAAGGGGTCATGTAATTGGGGGACCAGGGAGCCAGACAGTGGTGGTGTGAGGACCAAAGAGGCTACAGAAGTTGCTGAGACTGAAGGGATGGATTAGTCCTTCCCTTCATTTTCAGTGTCATCCATAGGGATTCCAAGGGTGCTAAACCTCATAGATGACTCACACAGGTCTCTTTTCTAGTTTTGTTTGATGACTAATAAACATTTTTGAATGCGTTTTAACACTGTTTTTCCCTGGATTTTTTTTTACATAAAAATTAATATACTTGACAATTTCTTTTTTTTCTGTTCTATTTTATAATAAAATCATTATTTACTCTGTTGAGTAAAGTTCTGTATAGTTTTCCTATTCTTGGGCCTTTTCCTTGGAGTTTCTCTATTATAGTTAATTAGTTCATCACATTTTGGGTGTGTTATAGCTAAACTAAATTTATACTGCTATTAAAGGAATGTGTTTGAGATACCATCATATTTTACAAAATAAGAGATAGTATATGAATATACGTCTTCATGTTGCTGCTTAAGAATAGAAAAAGTATGAATTGCACTATAAACAAAAAGAGGAATTTAATGTTCTGTGGCATCTACAAAGTTCCAAAAAAGAGTTGTCCGTTTTCATTAAGTATACTGAACACATTTACGTAATACATTGGTAATAAAGAAAAAGAGTATATACTAGGAGGTTGCAATACTTTTGTGAAAAGGTGATAGCGTCATCCAACTCTGTACTTTAATATCAATATGTATTGTAATGTGGACACTTCTCTGAGTTGGTGTTTATTACATACATATTCATATCCATAAAGGATTGATTAATTTCTAAAGCTTTTTTTCTCAGTCTTGATCCTTCTTGACCTTTCTTTAGCATGTGACACTATTAATCACCACATCTACCTTCTGGAGTTTTTGTGCCACTAATCTCTTCTTATTTTTTTTTTTGTAATAATAAAAGTAAGTCACATTTATATAGTGCTTTAAGATTTACAAAATGCTTTACATATCCCCATTTTGCAGATGAGGAAACTGGACTTGAGAGATTAAGTGCTTTTCCAGTGTCATAAATGTAGTATCTGCAGCAAGGTTCAAATCCATGTTTTCCTGACCCTTAAGTCTTGGCATGCCCTGCTGACTTTACTTATATGTTCTTTCTTGGTCTCCTTTGTCCAGATCTTTGGGTGGCCCCCAGAACTCTCTCCTAAGCCCTTTCTCTCCAGCTTCTCCTGGTGATCTCCTCAACTACCATGACTTCTTGTCTCTGATGACTCCTAGATCTGTATATCCAGCCCTAGTCTCTCGCCACCTTCAGTGTCATATCACCAGTACCTATTAAACATTTCTAGCTGAAGGTTCCTTAGGCCAGAGGTATTCACATTTTTCTTGATCACACACCCCTATCATAAAACATTTTTTACTATTAATCCTAATTTGTATGTATTTATATATCTGTAAGTTGTATACACCTTATACTATACTAATTATGTGAATTATAAAACTTAGAAAAATTGAAATTTAAAAGGATGAAATAAAAATGAAGTTATATTTAATCCTAGAGTAAATTGTGAACCACTGAAGTTTATTCAGTTGGAGAGAAAAGGTCAGACCTATACAGTCACTTTAGCAGTTATATGGAGGACAGTTTGGAGAAGGGAGGGTCCTAGAGGCACAAAGACCAGTTAGAAGCCTATTGTCAGTAGTCCAGATGAGGGCCTGAACTTGAGTGTTGGCTGTGAAAATAGAGCAAAGAAATATGTGAGATGCAGAGATGATGAGTTTTGGCAAATGACTGGATAAGTGGGGTGAGGAAAAATGAAGAATCAAAGATGGCATGTAGTGAGAACCTACATGACCAGAAAAATGGTGGTGCCATTGGCAATAATCAGGAAATTTAGAAGAGGGAAGGGCTTTTGGTGAAAATAATATGCATTGGCACCTTGATAGAGTTCACTCATGTCTGCTCATCCTATGTAATTCACTCTGTTCCAGCACAAGGAAAAGGGAGAGAGGCAGGACTCCTTCTCATTCTTCATGTCCCCAAGCACAAAGTCTACCCTCTGGGTATAGTGGGATGGGAGTATGCAGCTGCTTCTGGGAGTACCTGGGAGCCCTGCAGGTTAGACTCCCTACTCAGAATAGGGGATGCTGGAAACTTATAGACCAGGAGGTGTGGTTGTGTTGGAGACAAGCCCCATCACTGGGTAGGTCTCCAGGGTAGGATGTAATCCTTTCTTCCCACTCACTGATTGTTTGATCACATACCCTTCTAGAGTCAGTCCATCTTCCCCCCATCTCAGGGTAAGGCCATAGGCTCCACTTTGGAGATTGCTGCCTTAGATATTCCAAACTCAGCATGCCCAGAGGGGAACTCATCTTCTCCCAAACTCACTCCTCCTAACAGGGGTGAGTAGTGGAAGAAGACAGAAAGCTAGGAAAATGCTGTTGGTGCCCTCTAAATATTTTGCCCTTCTGATACCTCAGAGAGATGAAAGAAAGAAAAAGGACCCATATATACAAAAATGTATTTTATAGTGGCTCTTTTTGTGGTGTCAAAGAAGTGGGAACCAAACAGATTGTGATATGTGAATATAATGAACTGTTCTTGTACAGTAACAAATGATAAAGAGGATGGTTTCAATAAAATCTGGAAAAACTCATGAACTAATGCAGAGTGAGCGAAATTAAGAACTGTCTATTTTCCAAACTAAATACAAATGAATCTATTACTTCTTTTCTATTGTCACCTCTTAATATTAAACGTAAATCAAAATTGGCTATATTTGAAATAAATCCAAAATGAAGATACCAAAATGGGGAGGGAGGGGATTAGTTTAAATTGAAAGGTTCATTCCCTGATAAATGTGTAACTGCCATTAAGCTTTTTGTTCCATTTTAAAGAGTTTGGGTTATAAGAGTATATGTTGCTGTTATATTGAATCTATGATATATTTTTTTTAAAGTAGATCTTTTAAAAATTATTATTTCAAAATATCCTTAAAAAGCTACTTCCAATGAAAAGCATTCCTGTTGACTTAGCATTCCATATAAACTTTGCAACATTATAATTTGCATAATAGTTGGTAAAGAAGCAGGCAAAGTGGGAACAATATTATGGCGTATTTGGTTGAAACATCTAGAGCAATAGTTTATTCACTTTATGAAAGTTAATTTAACTGAAGTTTGTGCTTAATCTTTTCTCATAAGAATTTTACCATTTTATTTCCAGGAAAATTTAAGTTTCTTTTGGTAAGCAAGGTTAAAATTATTCATATCACAGTTCTCAGGTTTTCTAACTCCAGCAGTTTAATCAGACTTAAGTTTTTCAAAGTCTTAGTATTTGTCACAAACTTCGTTCCATTTTTTTTTCCCATATCTATAATATGAGGGTAATAAGAAGTTTTTCTTTGCAGGGTTTTTGTGAGGATTGGGGACATAAAAATCCCTTGGACTTTGTGAAACTGAATAAATGTACTGAATTTACCCCAAAAAAATTATTCATCATGGATTTTCAAAAAAGATAAAATAGCAAAAATTTCCTTGTCATTGTATGGTATTGTAACTGTGTACATTTAAATGAAAATAAGTTTTGTGTCGTTTTCTTATTTTCATGCTTCTGCATGAAAACATTTGCTTTGAGTTTTGTGTATGTTTTTAAAATGAGGTAGTTAAAGGCAAAAATATGTGAATTCTACATTACAAGTATAAATCACAAACTATAATAGTGGAAGCTGACCTATAGGAGTTAAACTAATCTCATTGATCATACAGAATATTTATCTTGTCAGGCAAATATTTTATCTAGGCAGTTCACCTTTGATATGTTTTATAGATTTAATCTGGTGGATAGAGAGGTGAATTCATCTTTTGAGGGTTCCTTTAACTCTCTATCACCTAAGATACAGAAAGGGAAAAGGGCTAGACCTGTGTTTTCAATAGTTTAGGTTCAAGGTAAGTTGTCTATCGATGCAGGTTGGCACTTTCTCAGCAACTTAATAATTTTAGAGCAGAGGTCTTGAATCGTAGAGCAGTTGTTCTTCACCTTTTTTTTTTGTCATGTGGGGTGAGTAGTGGAAGTAGAATTTTTTTTTTTTGTCATAGACCCCATTGTCAATCTGGTGAATCTTGTGGTCCCCTTCTCAGAATATTATTTTTAAATATATAAAATAAAATGTATAAGATTACAAAGGAAATCAGTTATATCAAATTATTTTTCTTAAACATGTTTACAGACCCCAGGTTAAGAATCCCCACACTTAAGTACGTTGCCTATAGCTAGTATTTAGGGCTTGAATCCAAGTTTTCCTAGCTTCAAGGCCATCTCTGTACCCAGTATGTTGTGCTACATCTCTGATTAATAACTATTATTACGTTGAAGTTAGTAACTTTCTATTACTATAGAAAGCCAAAACCAAACTTTACTAAGTAGTCTCCTGCTATTAATGAAAATTAACACACCCTCAAAGCAAATGTGTCAGTAACTTAGTAAAACCCAGAAATATCAGTATTACCCAGCTAACTCAAGGCGTGTATTTGATCCATATACAGAAAGAGCAGAAGATTCATTATCCTTCAAATTCAGTTTACTAGTGAACATTGTAGCCTTTATGCTCTGTTGCATTTTGACATTAATGTTATAGAGATAGGATAAGTACTAGGAGGTTCTTTGTTGAAAAGTGAGCTACTGTTACAAAAAAGCTAGAAATATAAATTAGTTATTCCTAGTTATATGAGTTCACAGTATTTTCCTAGGACAGTTACATTTTCTTTATCATAATTTCAGCTCCTTACTTGTTAATAAAGTATTTTTTTTTAACCACAGGATTTGGATCTAGAAGAACATAAAGCATCAAATAGTTTGAATTGTCTTACCACCAATGTAGAACATATAAGCTGTATTGAAAGAGAAGAATCCACAAATGTGAAAAAGAAAGTCAAAATAGATAATCATAATAAAAATAGTCCATTGAAGTTTGCTGATGCAGATAGCAAAGAAAATGTAGACTCACATCTTAATGTGAATGTCTATGATTTGGCTTTATTTAAAGAAGACAAAATAGTAGAAACTGACAGTGAGCCAGAAGAAGGTGAAATTACAGACTCTCAGACTGAGGACAGCAGTGATGTAACTAGTGAAGACAATCTTACTTCAGCAGACACTGAAGATGAAGGTGAGTTAATAGCCTTTACATATAACTAATTTAAACAGTTTTCTAAAAAACTAATAATTGGAGCAAACTGGAAAAAGAGCTTATAAGTCAAATGGTATACCTGCAGAAAAATGGTTTTAAAATATCAGCATAGTTTTTTAATGTCTATTCTAATCTAAATATGGTTAATGATGTGTGGTTTTGCATTCTTTTTTTTTAAGGGGTGGTTAGGAATAACTTAAATACTTCTAAAAATATGTGAGTTGCTCATTGTGGAGACTGGTGCAGATTACAGTACCTACAGACCTTAATATGAAGTTGGTAACTATATCTTTAGTTATTAAGTAAGCATTTAATAAGCACCTACTATGTGCCAAGCTCTCTGGTAGCACTGAGAATATGAGATAAGACAGTCCTGCCCTCACGGAGCTCACAGACTGATAGATGAGACAACCTGCAAACAAGAAAGATGTGTACAAGATAAATAGGAAATGATCTGCAGAAGGAAGGCAGTCGACTTAACGGGTCAGGACAGATGTCCTATTGAGGTGGGAGCTGTAGCTGCAGGGACGCTGACTTCAAGGAAGCCAGGAGGCAGCGTTGGATGGCTGCGGCTAAGCAGGCTCAGCACCTGGTGGGAAATCCTCTGGTAGCAGAGAAGGAAGGAAGGAAACAGGCATTTAGTAAGCATCTACTGTGTGCCGGGCGCTGTGCCAAGGGATTCACAGATATCTCACTTGATTCTCACGATCCTGCTGAGATGGGTGCTGTTATTATCCCCTTTGTACAGTTGAGGAGAAAGACAAACAGAGGTCAAGCGGCTTTCCCAGGGTCACACAGCTATTAAATTGTCTTCAGCTGGATTTAAGGTGTTCTTGAGCGCTCTGTCCACCGTGCCACCCACTTTACTCATAACAACCTTAGGAGTATCACTCTCCCTGCTTTACAGATAGGAAACTGAGGCTCTTAGAAACTGAGTCATTTGCTGAAGGTCACACTGACACTGTCAGTGCCGAGCCCCTCTCTAAAGCAAAAACTGTTTCATCTAGTCTTGGAGTCATCTGTAACCTTGAATGTGCTCACTCCACTCGCACACATTGTAAAATAAATTGGGTTGGAAAATACAGTACCAAAAATTATCTGCTAAAAATCCTTTGTTTTCTTTTGTTTTTACAACAGAGGCCAAGGCACTGAAAGTATGAAAAATGATTTAAGTGTTTTCTCTTTTCTTTTATAAAGGATGAATTATTTTATAAGCTTAAATATTTAAAATAATATGATAAAATGTATGCTTGGAATTCTTTCAAGCCTCAAGTCTAAAAGTAAACTATTTCATGCTGTTGAAAAATTTATTAATTAATCTCATTCCCTTTAAACTAATCATTACCCTCTATTTTTTCTTTCTTTCTGTTCTGGGTTACAGAGGAAGAAAAAATTTGGCCTCCATGTATTAGAGTCATTGTTATTAGATCACCAGTACTGCAGACAGGTTCACTTTTTATTATCACAGCTGTAAATCCAGCTACAATTGGAAGGTAAAATATCTTAATATCTCTCATCATATTATATTAGAGAATATTAAAATTATATTCATATGTTCATGCTTAATTGTCTGTATATGGGTTATCCAAGATCAACTTATTATCAAGGCTGTTTTATCTTAGCATTTTCGTGAACTGCTTACTGCTCCTTTTCCAATTTATACTGATATATGTACACAAATTCTAACTGAATTTAAATATTGTTCTAAGTAAAACATAGGTGGGTAAATCAGCAGTGTGTGTGCATATACACATGTACATATATATACACACACAAACATATGTATTATACATAAACACACTAAGCATTCTATATAAATTTCTTTTGGAAAATTTTTTAAAATTTACTTATAGAGCTTTCCTAATGTGGATAGTCTAGAAATTACCATATGACTGAATGAAAGAAATGAAATTGGGTACCATAGGATTGTCATTATACAACATTGTAGGTTGCCAAGTATATAAAAGTAATTGCAGTTCACTTATTGAACTCTCTAAGTGCCTCAGGCAACTATTTTTATGCACTTTAAATTTCAAGCGCTTAGGGTGGAAGGATCGCAGTAGGTCAAAACACAGTGGACCTGGTCCTGTATCAGATGGAAAATTTACTTAATTGTTTGAGGCTTCATTAAGGACTAGTTTTGTCTCTATGATAAAATGCCCCTTTGTTTGGTTTTTTAAAGCTCTTCACAATCCAGCTATAGACTGCCTGTTCAAGTTCTTTGTACATTACTCTTTTTACACATGCTGTGTTCCAGCCAAACTTCACCACTTGTCTGGCACTCATAAAATCATTTCCTGTCTCTGTGGCTTTTCACGGGCTGTCTTCTGTGCTGGAATGTGTTCCTCCTCCCCTTCGCTTCTTAGAATCCATGGTGCCACCTTCTACAGGCCTGTCCTCAATTCTCCCAGTTGCAAGTGCCCTTCCTCCTTCCCCTGTTCCTCCTTGAGGACAGGGAGTGTTTTGTTTTTGTCTTTGAAGCACAGGACCTAGTAAGATGCCTGACTCGTAGTAGGCAAAATAATAAATGCTTATTGATTGGCTGAGTGAATTAGAAGAGGTAATGTGCTACTATAAAAAGTATTCTAGTAGCATGAAAAACGTAAGCATTTTCAAAAAGGCACTAGTCACTTCTTAGTAGTAAAATCAGCCTTAGTCTTTTCTCAAAGTATATTATTTATGTAGTTTTTAGGTTTAGAAAATGACAGCATAAATGGTTCCCCTCTTTTTCATTATATTTAATTTATATGCAGATTGCTTTGTACAAATTTGTACAAAAACACCTATAGCAATAAGTAAACACTCAGGCCTTTTGATACAGACCTTATCCAAGTAGCTTTGTAACCAGAGGGGATTTCCTAGTTAATCAAGTAGACCCACCCTCTCCAGGTGTTTGACCTGCCATGGGTTAGCTGAGCTTTGGTTATTATATAGTGGAGACCTGAGAAGTCTTAAAGCCAGTGCCCAAGGGGATATGTAAATCTGTACTTAAAAGTTATTCAGAAAGCAATTTAAGAAAAAAATTAGTATTTGGTAAACTCTTGTTTGCATGGTTGCTTCTGTAGTTATAGTATTTACTTGAAAAAAATGGCACTAAGTTTAAGATAAATACCTTCTTTCCTTTTTCATAGCATAGGAAAAAAAATGTACACTATGTATATGATCTAGGTAAAACACAGACTTTGAAAGGTTTTTAAAATTGGGAAAATGAACTTAACATTCACAGCTTTTTCATTCCTTAGACTCTGGGCCCAATAAGAGGACCAAAGAAATGAAGTTGCCAGGTCATAGCTATTGAATAATAATCTTTTCTTGATGTAAACTGTAAGGAGTAGGAAAGAGAGCATGCATAGCCAAAGATTAACCCTTATTTTTCAGTCTTCATGATGATATACCCCAAGGGTCACAGTCTCAGCAGAGAGGCAAAGAGTTGACTGTCAGAGAATTCCTTCAACCTCTTGGGAAAGGCATATTGGCGTGCTGATTGGCTGGGCACTCTAAGCAGACTTGAAAGGTTATAAAAAAACAAATCTGTACCACAGAAATCTGAATTTGCTAATCAGTGAGCAAATTGCTTAGCGTGTTAATAAATCTCTTTACTTTGCATTTGGCCTATCTTTGATTCAGTCATTGGATATCTGCTGATGATATGTCTTTCTTAAGGGATTGAGAGAATTCTCCAACAATTCATACCATAGGAATGCATTACAACCAAAATGAAATATGGCAATACCTTTCATTGTTTACATGCACTTTTAATGTCCTAACCTAGACACACCCTTCCCAGCCATTCTCCTGATCTATCTTGACTTCACATTTTGTATATCTATAGTTTGTACTCTCAGTCTCAAAATGGAAACATGTAGAGGGAACACGAGTGTTTTCTTCTAACAGTTTCCAGAGGCTTGGGGACTTTATGCCTTTAATTTCTTTACTTTTTGTTTTGTTTTGTTTTTGTTTGTTTTTTGTTGTTTTAGGCAATGGGGTTAAGTGACTTGCCCAGGGTCACACAGCTAGTAAGTGTTGTGTGTCTGAGGCCGGATTTGAACTCAGGTCATCCTGAATCCAGGGCCGGTGCTTTATCCACTGCGCCGCCTAGCTGCCCCCAATTTCTTTACTTTTTAAGAACTAATTTCTGGCATCAGTGCAGTCTCCTTTTCCTTACAGCTACAGCTCATAGCTAACTGGATCCGCGGTGCTCAGCAGGGAAAATGAGCTTTGATCACACATAGGATAGCTTCATATTTTTCATTGGGAAGGATAATTTAGCTTATTCTTATTTCAGATTTTATACAGTGCCTTAATCTTAAATGCTCTCAAACAGTCGAATTCACCATTGTACATGTAATAAAAATAAGAATTTATTCAGTAGACCTGGGAAAGTTCATGCCAAGTTGGTCCAAAGATAAGGTTTCATAGATTTAGCTTTATTATATGCTCACTGGTTGCTGATTATTTTGGGTTAGATGAACCAAAGAATGAAAAGTAATTTTCATTACTTTCTATTTAGGCATCTTTACTTTGACAAGAAATTCAGAATAGGGTTAAAGATAAGATATAATCTATACTAGGGTTCTTCCCAAGATTGAGAAGAATGCATTTAAAATATTAACAGTTCCTCAAAATTCCAGTGTCATTCTATAAATGGTATAGTTATATATGGCTGAAAAATTATTGTATTTAACTTTCCAGAGAGAAAGACATGGAGCATACACTCCGAATTCCTGAAGTTGGTGTCAGTAAGGTAAACTTGAACTGAAAAAAATACTCCTTTCCCATGTGTTTAAGCAGAGTTAAGCTTTTCTTATTTGAGCTCCAAGCCTTTTTGTTTTGTTTTGTTTTTATGACTAATTACTAATAGAACATTTGTGGTTGAGTGTGGGGTTTTGTTTTGCTTTTCCATTTTGCTGAAAAACTATTAGAATGAAAGTTGCAACATTTTTCTCTTAAGATATGTGATAAAATCCTTTTAATCACAAGATGAATGAACTCCACCTGTTGTCTTTTTCTTTAATTTAAAGCAGAGTAAGGCACCCCAGGCACTCACCTTATTTTCATCCAGGCCCCTAAGTCACTGGTTTTATAGCAGAAGTAAAATTTTTCTGGCTAATGGGCTGCTGTCACTTCCTCTGAAGAAAAATTTTAAGAAAAGAGTGAAAAGCTAGGATAAATAGCCAGGGAGCTAATAAGAATTTCACAGGGAAGTAATGAAAGACAGGAATACACCAAAGTTCAAGATATTTATACTTTAGAAGCTTCTGAGTCTACCTCTCATTCCTTTATTTCTTTCACCCTTTCTTTCTGTGTTTATCGTGTTTTCCTCTCATTTATTTTTCTCTCTCTTCCTCTTTTTCCTTATTCTTTTCCCCCCTTTTATCTTTCTTCCTATTTCCTCCTCAACCATGTCAGGAAAAAAAGATATGAAATTGAAGTATCTGTATTGTGTGTGTATATGTAAACACATATATATGTAAAATAGTTTTCCTTTTGCTAATTTTAATGAGCTTAATCTTCTGTCTTCTCCCTCTCATCCTCCAAATGAAACCACAAGTACTCTAGAATGCACTAAATTACCCTAATGCTTCAATATTTCTAATCTTTGAAAGGAAAAAAAAATATTCAGGCATACTTGAAAAAATAACTTATAGGTCAGATGCAGACATTATATTTATTAGTCAGATTTGGGAAGAAAGTACAGCATGTATTTGCACCAGCATAGTAAGTTGCTTTTTATTCATTGTGGTCCAAATTTAAAAAAAAAACTTCCATGTTACTCTAAAGTAGATAAAATTAGTGGTATCTTATCTTTAAAATTAACATGTTCAAAGACATAGGAGAGTATTAATGGTCTGAGACAACATCATTTCACAGGGGTCACATTCATTTAATAGAATTTTTTTTATTTCTCTCATTTCTCAAGTTTCATGCAGAAATTTACTTTGACCATGAGTTACAAAGTTATGTTCTTGTGGATCAAGGCAGTCAAAATGGTACAATTGTTAATGGAAAGCAGATTCTTCAGGTGAGTGTTTTTATATAAGTTAATCAAACACCTATGTATATTGTTACATAGCTTTAAAAAACTAAAACTCATAACTCTCTCTGAAAGCTATAACATTTGTAGACTATCTTGTTCCTCAGCTCAAAATTCCTCATAGGCTCCATTTTTTTTTTTACCAATTAAAATTCATAGTCCTTTACCCAAATTTGAATGCAGTCTGGCACCACTTTTTTCCCCTCAGATTTATTTCATATGCTGTTCTGTGGTGAAACTAGACTGTTCTGTCTCATGTCCTTAACATTCTGTTCCTGGATGCCCTTCGCACCCATCCTCTAAAGACCAAGTCAGAGTCATTTCATCCAGGCAGCTTTTTTTTTTATCCCTTTCTGTCACTGACTTTCCCCCCAGAAATCACAGGTCCAGACCCTGCCCCACCACTACCACCCTCCCAAAAAAGTTTATTGTAATTATCAATTTATGTGCCTCATCTCCTCCTATTAGAATGCAGTCTCCACGAGGGCAGATAAATTGTTTTATCTAAACTTGATCTCTTCCATACCACTAAGTACGGTGTTTTGAACACAATGAGTGCTTAATAAATGTTTGGTGAATTGAGATGACTGTATCAGTGGAAAAAGGGCTGGATTTGTGTGTCATAGGAACTGTTTTCTAATCTTGATTCTGCCACTTATTATCTGAATGGCTTTGGGTCATTTCACTTCAATGAGTCTCAGTTTCGTCATCCACAAAATGAAGGAGTTGGACTAGACAACCTCCAGGGTTCCTTCCAGCTGTGAGATCTGTGATTATGACCACGGTTCAAGTCTTGTCTCCCCATGTGGCCTGGGGAAAGTTACTTAAATGTCCAGTGACCCAGACAGCTTGCTAAGACTCTTAGTAGCAGAATAATTGCCAATATATGTTGGTTGAGGGAATTTCCTATGTCAGTAAAATCATAGGTCTGAATCAGTAAATAAATGTATATTATAAAATTTGGTATAGGTCATTTATTCAGTAGTAAAGTACAAATCTTTTATGTACATATGTGGAAGCTATTACCACAATTCTAGATTCAATCACTGATTTCTCTCCACGAAGGTAAAATATATTGTGGCTAGTCTGTTATCAGGGAAAAAGCCTTAGAAATCAACTTCATATGCCCCTCCCAGCCATTACTTGTGTCATTAGACTTATAATGATAAATTTAGTTTTCCTCCTTACATATAATTAGATCTGGAAATATCCCTTACAACAAACTCCAAGACCTCCAGGCTTTGGGGTTAAAATGCAAATTGTTAAAGTAAATATATTGATTGTCAGGAGTAATGTTTTCATTCTAGGAGGACTGCTTTAGAGCAGTGGTGTCAGACTCAAGAGAAATAATTCCTGTGGGCCACGTATTGACTTCAAAAACCACTAAATTAGCATTATCTATGTGTATTGTATTTTTATTTATTTTGTTAAACCTTTCTCAGTTACACTTTAATCTGGTTCTAGTTGATGAAGAGTTTGACACCTTTGCTTTAGATTAGCAAGCAAAAAGATATGCTTTGAGCTGAAGAGAAAGAATGTAAGCCTGTTGTATGAACCTCCCCAACTGCTGTCCTCTTCCTCATTCTGACTTCTTTCTGTGTGATAGTAGTTTGTTGTACTGGATAGTTTGGGAAAGGGAATAAGTATTTGTATAGCACCTACTCTGTGCCAGGCACCATGTTATATTCTCTCATCTGATCCTTACAACAACCATGTGATGTAGGTGCTATTACCCATTTTACAGTTGAGGAAACTGAGACAACAATGGTGAAGTGATTTGCCCGGGGACCCATAGCTAATAAATGTCTGAGGCCAGCTTTGAACTCAAACCTTCCTTTCTTCAGGCCCAGGGCTCTACCCACTGTGCCAGAAGTTCTTTCCGTTTGGAAATTTAATTGATATATCTGATGGGGTTAGAAGAAATGTTTGAAATAAGAAGAAATGAAGGTTGTGAAAGGAAATTGCTATTTGATGGTAAAATTTTTAAAAGCATAAAAAGCTTAATTCAGCTGTCGTCTTCATTTATACTTCGAGTAATACATCATGGTCCTAGGTAGTAATTATGTGGATGGGGATAGAGAAGACATTTGTTGCCCTGAATTTTTATATAAAATTCATTATATCCATATCAAGAAGACTAGGTTACTCTTGTATAGATGGTAACACCTGGTATAACCTCTATTATGGCATTTGTTGTCCTTAGCTTTACTTGTAGAAGTAAAAATCAGCCACGTATGTGATCATCTTGGACTTTATTTTACATGTCTCTTCTGTAGCCCAAAACAAAATGTGAACCTTATGTACTAGAACATGGAGATGAAGTGAAAATTGGAGAAACTGTGCTGTCCTTTCACATTCATCCAGGTAGTGATACTTGTGATGGTTGTGAACCAGGGCAAGTTCGAGCCCACCTTCGCCTCGATAAGAAAGATGAATCTTCTGGTAGGTAAAATTTATCATTCTTTATGATGTTGATAACTTTCCTTGTAAATTTTAATCTTTAAATATAAAATCTCCATTTTCTGGAACTATATACTAGCTTTCAAATGAAGTTTTTCTATTTTAAGGATATATGCTAGTGATGGATCCAGTACCCTGATCTTTGTATATGAGGGATAGCTTATGAGTATTTGCTAATTATCATTTAATGAATGAAGTGTATTTTAGGAATAAGTTTATTGAGCGGGATACATTTTAATGACATCCAGTAAAGACAGCGTGTTTCATATTTGAAGACTGGGCTTATAAACAACATAACTGCATTAAGGAATCTTTCACATTCTTGTCCTTAACACTTTGAGAAATGTAGCAGCACATGAAATGTACTGACCAGGAGAAAAGCCTTTCAGATATCAGTATGGACTCTGATAATGCTAATTCAGTTTGTTAATAGGCTTTTGTAACAACCCTGAAACATTTCCAAATGTCCTTCAAGACAGTAATTATGGTATGATTAGAATTGTAGTTATACTTTCATCTAATTAGGTCCTATTTCTTTTAACTTCTGTTGTTGATGTTAAGAAAGGTCATTTGGAGTAAATAGAGCACCTGCCCTGGAATCAGGAGGATCTGAGTTCAAATTGAGACTCAGACATGTGATACTTACTAGCTGTGTGACTCTGGGCAAGTCATTTAACCCCAATTGCCTTGGGGGGAAAAAAAAGGTCATCGACAGGCTCTGTCGTTAGTAAGATTGTTCTGTTGGTATCAACATGAGGTTGAGTTCATATTGCTGTATTGTAGGGGTTCCGAACTTTTTCTGGTCCCTGTACTTAGTTTTCAGTAAATCTTCTGTATTTGTTCCTTAGTATGGAAAGAAATGAATTCTGAAGTTTACAGTATGCATGAACATAGAGATGGGGCCTGGACCTGTGGTTTCATTGCTATAGGGAACTCCTGGTAAGGACCTTCCTCTGGCAGCACAGGCCTTCACCTTTTTTGCAGCTAATCAGCTTAGATGCCACTGAAAACACAGAGCCATTAAATGACTTGCCTTAAGTCACATGGCCACTATTGTCAGAGGTAAAAGCTTGAATCTAGATCTTCCTGGCTCCAAGGCTAGCTCCCTATCCACGGTGCCACTTTGCCTCACAAGCACATCAAGAGACTAATTTCAATAGGATAATACGGTAATTTACAAAATATTCTCCATACCCCTTTGACAAGCCCCTAGGATTATGCAGACATCAAGTTGGGAAACCATGCTTTGTTATCACAGTACCACTTTCTGAGGCAAAATTAGTGTTACAGGAAGTTTCCAAGGAGCTTTTGGTACTGCTGTCTATTTCCCTGAATTTTCGAAAGATACTTTGAACTTCTTTGAAATTGCTTTTAACAAAATTATTATTTCTAAAAATCAGTCCCTTTATATATATATATACATACTCATCATTCACTTCTACTTATTGGGGTTTTTTTGCGGGGGGGAAGGAACAAGGTGGTTAATATGTTTTCCTGTCAGAATATTCAACAAGAAGCTGAGAAATCACAACAGCTAGGTGCACAGTGGATAGAGAACCGGTCCTGAAGTCAGGAGGACCTGAGTTCAAATCCAGCCTCAGAACAAACACTTCACATGTACTAGCTGTGTGACCCTGGGCAAGTCAATTACCCAGCAAAAAAAAAGAAGAAAAAGAAGAAGAAGAAGCTGAGAGTCCTCAGTTCTCTACTAGCTCTTTTCCAGCTCATGTTGACCTTTTGGGAAAATCACTTAATTTTTTTTTATACCTTTTATAGCCACATACTTAGCCAATAAGGCCCCTTGAAAGATTGAAATCTGTTAAGTGATTTGGGGTCTTAATAAGAATTGTCCTAAGATATTTTTGTAATATGCACCATAGTCTAGCTGTGATATGACCCAGTACTAGAATTGTAGAATTCTTATCATTCTGTCCAAGGCAGTTTAATTACCGGAAGTAATGAAAGGACCTTATTATAACCCAAGGACCATTTTATATCAACATTTCATTGTATCTCTTTGCTGTTGACTTACAAATGGAGTATTACTATTGATTGCAAACACTGTATGCTGCAAAAGCTTCCATTTCCTCCAAAAAAGAATTTCATGCTTCATGTATCTAATTATTAAATGGTCATTCTTTTTTCAGTTGGTCCAGCATTAAGTAAAGAAGAAAAAGAGTTAGTAAGAAGAAAAGCATTAAAGAAAATAAGAGTAAAATATGGCTTAATGGTAAGTGTTTATAAGGTACTAAATATTATACTATTTTAAGTGTTAAAGCAAAGCTTTAAGGAATAAAGTTTTCTATTAGCAGGGCCAGCAATATGCCTACAATTGCATAGAATGATCTGTTGAGCATATGAAGTTTTTTGTCAGTCTGACTGGGATTATAAGTGAATAAGTATTGGGTCGGGACCAAAAAAAACCCAACACAGTAGAACCTCTTTACATTTATATGGTATGCTTTACCATTATCATAATGCTCTCACATACATTCTCTCATTTTCTCCCTGCGACATCTCTGTGAATACATTAGGCAGTCTTCAGTTTCATATAAGTAAACTGAGACTCAGCGTTTCATCCCTTTTTTCTTCTCTGACAGCCATCCTAGTTCAGGCCCTTCTAGTCTGGGTTGTTTCCATAGTCTCTTAATTGATTTTGCTGCCTCAGATCTCTCCCATCTCCATGTTCTTCACTCAGCTACCAAAGTGATATTGCTACAGCACGAGCCTGACTGTTATCACTCGTCTCCTGCTTAAATGCCTTTTCATGAACTTCCCCATGCTTGGAATTCACTAGCTCCTCACTTCTGCTTCTTAGAATCTCTGGTTTCCTTCAAAGCTGAACTCAAGTACCACTTTTTACATCAAATCTTTCCTGAAACCGTCCCCCAGCAAGTAGTGCCTCCACTCCCCCAAATCACCTTGTATTTATTCACTGTGTATATTTTACATGTATACCTGTTTTCCCCAACAGAGTGTAAGCTTCTTAAAGGCAGATGTTCTTCATTTTTGTCTTTGCATCCATAGTTCCTGGTACATAGTGAGCACGTAATAAATGCTACTTAACTGATTGAAGTGACTTACAAAATGTCACACAGCTAAGTGAAAGAACCAAGAGTAGACTCCAAATCCCCAGGATCATCATCTAATATTCTTTTGGCTATACTACAGAGACCTAGGAAGAGGAGATACTGTTCACATAATTGACGTAATTTTTTCCATCCAAATAAAGATTTTTTTTCTATAAGTATTATTTCCCTGATAATTGCTTTGTTTTTTAGTCCTGGTGGGATTTTATTGTTATAGTGAGAAAACTCCCTCTACTAAGGCAGATCAGCAACTGCTCTGCAACTTAAAATATTAGAAATTACCTGGGGCCCTGAGAGGTAAAGTGACTTGCCCAGGGTCATACTGATTTTTAAGTAAAGTAGTAATAATAATCTTTCACTCAACTCTTATTAAAACATCTCCACATTACATAGAAGGGAATATTTCTTAAATGCCTGTGATGTTCATGGAACTGCTGGGTGTTGGAAAAGCAAAAATTAAATAAGTCCTTCCCATCACAATTCAGTAAGATGGAAGTACAGCATTCACAAATTATTGTAATACAAAAGTGCATGTACCAAATGAAATGTGAGGTCTAATGGAAGGGAAAGTCATTACTGAGTGAACTTGGGAAGACTTCTTGGAGGAGGTGACGTTTGACCTGGGCTTTTTAAAAGATGGGTAGAATTTAGACTGATGAGGGTAGAGAAGGGCAGATCTCAGGTAACAGGGAAGAGCATAACCAGAGACCGAGAAGTCTCTGAGAATGGAGATGTTGAGTCCTTGACTGGAGGTAGGTGCACATAGAGAGTAGTTGTATAAGGCTAGAAAGGTAAGGTACAGATTATAAACAACTTGGAAGAAAGGAGGGGAAATTATTAAATGCCTACCATGTGCAAAACATTGTACTGTGTGCAAAGATACAGATTAAAAAACAAGACAGTCCCTTGTCTTCAGGATTCACATTCTAACAGTGATACAACTCATGTAGAAGGTTTCAGCTCCGAATGAGATGAAAAGGGTGCAGCAGTAAAGCAAATGGTCATGCACCTTATTTAATGGAATTTCCATTAATAAAACAACATTGGTTTCTGATTTTTGAACCATTTGATGTTTCCAAGGACTTTGGTGGTAAGAACTTTATTTTTGTGTCTTCACTAGCTATGATTGCTGAGGAGATGTAGGTTGCAACACCTGTGGAAGTTGCCAGGTTGCATATCCACAAGGGTTGCTTCTCCAAACTATATATGACTAAGGGATCCAGGAAAGAAGTAGGGCTGGTGGTCTATGCGTATGCTGCTGCCTCTGGGGCTTTTTGCCTTACCTGTCTTTCTGTGGCAGCTTGTGGATACTGGTGGTAGCAGGGATGTCTGACCCCTTCATCCCAAGGGTGGCTACCCCCCCCCCAGAAGGGAGGCGGGGCTGATGATCTGGAGACCACTGCCATTCTTAGGACTTTTGGGCTCAGGGACCTGGGTTTTCTTCATGGGAGTCCAAGGGAAGTCAGTGGTCACGGTCTCTTGACTTGCCTGGCACATGCTGCCACCTTTGTCTCCAGCAGAGAGGATGTCAGAAGAGCTTCATTTTTATTCAGCAACCAGAGAATTGTTGGGATGTTTTGAACAGAGGAGTAACACGATCAGGTCTGTGTTTAGGAGAGGTTAGTTTGGCAGCAGTGTGAAAGATGGTTGGATTTCATCAGAGGAAGAAAAACTGGAAATGGGGAGACTGCCCAAGAAGCTGTTGGAATACTATTAAAGGAGTAGCATTTGGGGAAACAGCAGGAAAGGGTAAAATCTGAGCAATATTGAGGAGGTAAAACTTATAGGACTTCACCACCTTGAAGGGTGTGAGATGCAGGGGGAAACCAGGTAATCCAGGCCTCTCTGCACATGGGGGATGGAATGAATGGCACAAAAGTAAGGGAGGGGGTGGGAAGGAGAAGTAAATTTAATCTTAGAATTGATGAGTTTGACTATATCAAATTACCATCTCAGGTAGCCGGGGAGGGGGGGAAGGGAGAGATTTTGGAACTCAAAAATTCTAAAAAAACTGAATGTTAAAAAATTGTTTTTAATATGTAAATGGGAAAAAATAAAATATTGAAAAGAAAAAAAGATTAGTTTGAGCTATTGGTACAATAACTAGTTGGACATATTCTGTAGGCAGTTGATGATCATAACATAGATTTTTCTCAGCCCAAGGACGTATGATGACCTCTCAGATGTCTGAAGCATCTTTGTATACTACCATTTGATTAAAAGCAGTGGCTACATAGCATTGGATTAAATGTTATTAAAATACCTATGCCTTTATAAAGCTAGTGATTTATTTTCCTATGAAAATATAACTGAAAGCAATAAAAATCTGAAGTAATTAGGGTTTTTTGGTTATGAGGGGTTTTTTTTTTGTTTGTTTAATTTCTAATATAAGTGGAAACATTTGCCTTATTGTAAAGGTAGATGTGTAATAACACCAGGAGCTTCCACATCTTACATTAAAACATTGTTAAGTTACATTATGTATTTTAAAATTTCGTTCTTCCCTAATGATTTTTGTGCATTTATTAAGAATACAGAACATGAAGATGAAAAAGCACTAAAGAATCCAAAATATAAAGACAGAGCTGGAAAACGTAGGGAGCAGATTGGAAGTGAAGGAACATTTCAGAGAGATGATGCCCCTGCTTCTGTCCATTCGTGAGTATTGGACATATTGACACCAATTCAGTGTACAAGAAGCATTCATTATACAGTGTGCATATTCAGATTGCCTAATTTATGTTGGTTTCTGTTCTAAGGACCTAAAGGGTTGATGATAATAGAACAGGCAGTGATCAAGTATGAAATTATTAAAGACTTTCTTTCATGTTACCATGATTCTTCCTTGTTCCTGAGAAGCTATGTATTTTTGTATAATGTATAAATGTGTGTTCATATATATGCGTAATGTAATGTAGTTACTATTTATTGAACAAGTATTTGTTAAGTACTCACTGTGTTCCAGGTACTCTGCTAGGCACTTCAAACAAAAAAGATAAGAAATGAAATAGTTGTGCCCTCAAAGAGATTACATTCTATTGAGGGAGGAGGGGACAACTTGAACACAAAATATATGCAATAAATACAAAGTCATTTTGCAGAGAGGCACGAGCAATTGGAAGGCTAAGGAAAAACCTGTTGGCACTTCGGCTGAGCCTTGAAGGAAGTAGTGTAATTCACAGAGGTGGAAGTGGTAATGGAGTATGTTCCAGGCAGGGGAGTCAACCAAAACAAAGTGGGAAATGGCGTTTTGTGTGTGAGGAACAGCAAGAAGGCCGTTTTGGCAGGATCAGAAAGTGTTTAAAGGGTAATAATGTATTCTAAGTCTGGAAAGGTAGATTGGTGCCAAGTTGTGAAAGACTTTAAATTTCAAACTGAGGAGTTTCTATTTGGTTTTAATTAGGCTATTGGAATAGTCAAGGTGAGAATTGATGAGGATCTAAATTAGGGTGTGGTGGTAGGGAGGGGGAAGGGGGGAATGGGAGAGATGTTACAGAGTTTGAATCAACAAGCCTTGGCAGCTGATTGAATACATATGTGCAGAGAGACGATGAATGAGAGAGACTGAAGAAGTGAAGATATTCAAGGCTGTGAACATAGGCACTTCTATAGAAGGCCAGTGGTGTCCTGGATAGAAATAGAAAAGTTTGTGAGGGCAGTGGCTTTAAGGTGGAAAGATAATAAGTTCTCTTTCAGACGTATTGAATTTAAGGTGCTTAGGGAATATTGAGTTGGACATGTCCAATAAGCAGCTGGTGCTATGGAATTGAAACTCAGGAGGAGATTCTAGCGCTAGGTATTTTGACCAGGGAGTCATCTTCCTAGAGATGATGATTAAATCCTTGGGAGCTGATGAAGTTACTGAGAGATGTTGGAGGGAGAAGACCCAGGACAAAGCCGTGGGGTACACTCACAGTTAGGGAACATGATATCAATGATGATCCAGCAAAGAAAACAGATAGATAAGTGAGACAGACAGAAGAACTGAAACAGTGTCATGAGAACCCAGAGAGGAGAGAGTGGTTAATAGGGTCAAATGCTACAAAAATCAAGTCTGATAAAGATTAGAAAAGGTCATTTGATTTGGCTATTAAAAGATCATTGGTGACTTTGAAGGAGAAAAGTTTGAATTAATTGGTACAGTTGGAAGTCAGATTGCAGGGGGTTGAAAATTAGTCAGTAAAAATTTTTTAAGCTCCTCCTGTGTTCCAGGCACTGTGCTAAGCTCTGGAGATTCCAAAAGAGGCAAAAACAGTTCCTGCCTTCAAGGAGCTTACAGTCTAAACATGCAAGAATGTGTGTGTGGGTTTGTACACATATATATACATACATAATTTTTATAGATGAGGAAATTGTGAATCAGGGAAGTCAACTTACTTGCCCATTCTCATGCAGGTGGTCAGCTACAGAGATAGAATTTGAACTGAGGTCTTCTGATTCTAAATCCAGTGCTTTTTATATCACAATACTGCTTGCCAGGGAATCAAGGAAAACATCATGGAGGTGGTATTTTAGCTCAGTTTTTATGGTTGGATTTTAAGAGGTAGAGATGGTAAGAAAGGTACAATGAACATAGGCTACAGTGTCAGCAAATGTATGGAGTTGCAAAGTACCAGGACTTGTTTAAACAAAAAGTAGTCCAATTTACCTGGAGTGTAGAGATCATGAAAAGAAATAGTATAAGACTAGGATGGAAAGGAGCCAGATGGTAGAGAACCTAAAACGTTAATGCTAAGAAGCTTGGGAATTCATTATTCAGTAGGCAATGGGAAACCACTGAGATTTTTAATCAGGGTGGTGACATGATAAGAGGAGTGCTTGAGGAAGATTAATCTGACACTAGTATATAAGGTGGACTGAAAATAGGGGAACAGTTTAAAGGGCTATTGAATATTTTGGGCAGTAGATAAATGAGGGTCTGGATTGGGGTAGTAGCAGTTAGAAAAAAAATGAACGGAGGATCCTGTAGGTCAGAGGTAGAAATAGGATGATTTTGCAGCTGAAGTATTGGTCTAGCCAAAAAAAAAAAATAGTAGGGACAAAGGCAGAGTTAGGAAGCATAGATGTCTCAGAGAATCTTGGTGTGTATAATAGAAACAAGGACAGCTATTGGTGAAAGATAAGGTGAGTCTCAGACATATGAAATGCATGTGGGAAATCCAAGTGGATATATCCAGGAGGTAATTGGAGATGGAATTCAGTAAAGAGGTTGAAGCTAGAGATAACAGATTTTGGAATTAACCTGCAGAGGTGAATCTGTGAAAGGGATGAGTTTATCAAGTGAGATTGCAGAGAAAAAAGAAAAGAACCGTGGATAGAGCATTAAAGAACACCTGCATATAAGGCAGAAGAAAGGAAAGCAGTAGAGTACTAATGTCATGGAAATCAAGGGGGAAAGGGAGGTGATCACTGTCCTTTGCTGCAGAGAGGTGAAAGAAGATAAAGACAATAAAAGGCCATTGGTCGGTCATTAGTCACCTTAGGGGAGGTAGTTAGTGTAATATAGAGGGGGTGGAAGTCATATTGCATGAGTTTAAGGAGTGTTGAGGAAGTGGAAGTATTGATTACAAGCTACTCTTCCAAGAAGTTTAGAAGAAAGGGAGAAATCAGTCATCTAATATTAGATTAATACTGTGTGCCAGGTACTTGAGATGGAGTGTCCTGTTAAATGTCTGTGGGGAACAGAGATAAGATTAGTTGGTCTGGTTCCCAGTGTGTGGGAGAGGGATTGCTATCCGATGAAGCTAAAAAGAGACCAGGGTTATGTGGGGCTTTAAAAGCTCAACAGAGGAGTTTATATTTTATCCTAGAACCAATAGGAAGCCTGTGGAATTGTTTGAGGAATCAACATGGTCATAACTGGTCTTCAAGAACATAAGTTTGGCAGCTGTGTGCAGAATAGAATGGAGTAGTGAGAGACTTGGAACAGAGTGATCAATTAGAAGGCTATTGAAATAATCTGGGTAATAAATAATCTGAGGTGAGAAGGCCTGAACTAAGATGGTAGACATGTGAGTGGAGAGGAGGCATTAGACCCAAAAGATGTTGTGAAGAAGGAAATGCTAAGATTTGGCACTTAATTGGCAACATGGAGTAAGGAAGAATTAAGACCCCAGGATAATGCCAAGGTTGTAAACCTGGGAGACTTAAAGGATAGCCATGCCTTCATGGGAAATAGGAATTTTGGAAGAGGGGACAGTTTGGGCGAAAGTACAAGTTCAGTTTTAGACATGTTGAGTTTAAGATGTCTCTGGGGCATGCAGTTGAAATGTCCACTAGGCAATTGGTGATGTAGGCCTGGAGCGCAGGGGAGAGACTGGGGACTCTGTGTGTGTGTGTGTGTGTGTGTGTACACATATATATGTCTATGTGTGTATATCCTGTGTGTACATATATATATGTATATATGCACGTCATTTGCAGAGTGATGCAGATATGTGCATCATCACCATGTGGATATGTAGCACCCATGGGAGATGATGAAGTTAGAGAGAGTATGTAGAGAGAAAAGATAAAGGGGCTGGAACAGAGCCTTGAGTAACATCTGCAATTAAGGGGGATGGTATGGATGATGTGCCAGCAAAGAAGACTGAAAGAAGTCAGAATCAGGAGAGAAGAATGTTAAAAAAAAAAAAAAGAAACGGGACAATAACTTAAACAATATGGAAAGGTCAGGCAGACCTCCTGGAGGCAGAAGAGAAAGTCATTGGAAAGGAAGAAATTGAAGCTTCCTTAGTGGGGAAGGGTCCCGGATGAGTCAGAGGGGCTGAGATTCAAGGCAACTCTCCACTGTTACTTTTGGCAAGGAGAGCCACCTCTTCCATAGAGAAGCTTCAAAACTCTTTTTTTCCGTGACATACACTCACTACAATCTGAGATTCATTTCACTTAAGTGACTGTAGGTTTAGTTTGTTTTACTTCATGTACCTAACATCTAGAGGGAGAATAGACTAATGCAAAATAGACTGTTGAATTTATCCTTATTGCAAGACAAAACATAATTTTACATGTTGGTATTATATTTTTTTCCTTTAATTTTTTTGAAGGAGCTTCTGAATTTGTAACAAAAATGTGGGCAGAAGTACAGTATATGTCTTTTTTAAAATGTTACTAATTTACTCATTTTTTTCTCTCAGAATAGGACTTCTGGATTCAGTTAAAATTGAAATCTAGCAAGCAAACAATAATTATTTAATTTATATTACCTATTAGATTGTATCAAGAGAAAAGGTTTTTTTTCTTTTAAAAACTTTGAATGTAAAACTGTTCAAAGTTTAATCTCTGTGGGGTACTAGTTGTTTGGGAATCTGAATACTATTTTTAAAAATGGAATTAGAGGTCAAAAAATTTTTAAAGAAAATCAGTGGTCTGACATTCTCAGCTTGTTATTCAAAGATTGCCTTAATCCATTTGAAACTAAAAGGAAAATGATGGTTGTTAAGTGTCAGAAATTTGGTATTATTAAAATAAATTTTCTGTTCTAGAGATATGGGACAGACTGCAAGTCTGTCATTTATTGAATTTATTATTATTCAGAAAAGTTTTAAATTCTCCTTTATATACCAGATAATATTTTATTTTTCTTTAAGTGAAATCAATGACAACAACAAAGGTCGGAAGATGTTGGAGAAGATGGGTTGGAAAAAAGGAGAAGGCCTAGGAAAGGATGGTGGAGGAATGAAAACTCCAGTAAGTCTTCTATTTTTAAGCCCTAATTTACTTGCCAGTAAAAACTTTATTTTAAGAAGAAAGTTTTAAAGGAATTCCTGGTATAAAGTTGGAATAACAAATGTTATTTCATTGAGCCATAGAGTGCCTCGGTTTTGAATTTTTAATTGCTTGCCTTGCCAAAACCTGGACATTCAAAAGCTGAACCCCATACTACTGTTTCAACCAGCTGCTTTTAACCTGTGTCTTCATCATCATACTTCAGTGTAACTGGTTTCCTTTTTTATCCTAAGTATTTTATTCATTTTAAAAATTATTCTGAGGAGCCCATAGGTTTCACCAGACTGCCAGGCAGGTCCATGACACAAAAAAGGTTTAAAACCTCTGGCTTAAAAAGCCATTCCAAGTTGTGAAGAAATCACTTACAAATTCCTACACAAATGTGAATTATCATTGAGAGGCCCATACTCAACAGCTAGCATTTTATATATCTCCTCCCCTACCCCAACCCACCTGCAGCCACCCAAATGCCAACAGGTAGTCAGAGACAATAGGATGCTGACAGACCAACCCTCTTCCCTCTCCCTCCATCCTTCAGTGAAATAACCCAGAACCTTCCTTCATTCCAACCCCCTGCCTACTACCCACACTTCGCAATAGTTGGTTTGTGGGGAGCATGTCTGCTAACATCAAGGATGATCAAGGAGTAGCTAACTATGATCCTTCATTAATATGGTAGTAGGGCCCTACTTTCTGTCCTGATAACTGCTGCCATCTGACCTGCCTTTGCACCCTCAGGTGCTCTGAACCTTTCATAGGTGCAGGAACTATCTTGTCTTCTGTTTTGTGCCCTTAGTACCCAGCACAGTGATTACGCATAGCATTTAACAAATGCTTTTCCATTACACGTACCAGCTGTCCTTGTGAAGAAAGAAGGCCCTTAAATAAACTATACAGTTCACTTTTTAAAAAGCAAATCTCCGGTTCAGTTTATAGATAAGCAGATTCTGTTAGTCTGTGATCCTGTGTACAGTTCATTAAGTAGAGAAGGGATGGAAAACAGGAGATAATGAGGAGCGTGGTGTTGTGCATACTAAATACTTAATTTGAATCCTAGTTTTGCTGTTTACGAATTGAATGACCTTGACCAAGTTACTTGACCTTTATAGGCCTTGGTTTCCTCATCACAAGTTCCATAATAATCACTTGGTACCTTAAATAATGAGTGAATAATTTTTCAATGCATTTGTAAATTTAATTTCCTCATTTTTCCCCAATCAGACTGTGGTTGACCCATAGTTCTTAAGAAAATGAAACACATATCTTCTGTTTAAGGTTCCTATTGTAGAATTTCCCCTATGTTCAATTCTTTTCAGGAAAATAACAGCCCAACAGCTGAATATTTAATTAAAGGCCAGGTAAGGGTTTGATATATGACCAGTGCTTCTACTCTTAGTTAGACTGTTGGGAATAGCATTCTGAAACATCTCAAGATGAAATTAGGCAGCTGCTTTGGAAAGCATTTCCTGATAGAGAATGATGATGTAGGGAAAAAATTTTAGGAAATTGCATTCACAATTGTGACCTCTTCTTATATGTATTTGATGTACTTGACAGCTTGTATCAGTTTTAAAGCAGAGAACTCCAATTCAAGGGCTAAGTTAAAAAGCAAATTTAAATTTATTTAGAATTATATGGTAGCTATTAAATAAAGATTATTCAATTTTTAAAACAGATCCAGCTTCAGCTGAGACAGACACATGCAGGCTTGGGGACTGGCAAACCATCTTCCATTGAAGATGTTCAACTCTTCCAGAGTAAAAACAAAAAGAATTGGGACAAAGCAAGAGAAAGGTTTGCTGGAAACTTCCCAGAAGCTAAACTACAAAAAGATGCATCAGGAGTCATGCCTTGGGTAAAAGGGACTGCAGAGTGAAACTTCAGAGTTCTTAAATGTTTAGATTTTGGGTTTTTGTGGGATTTTTATTTTTCAAGTAAGTGTGTATGTGTGAGGGAATGGAATAACAGTTTACCCTCTCAGGATTCAGAGACGTGTAATAAAATTTGGTTAGCTATGGACTATTTAGTTATGTTGGTCAAATTTGCATCTTTTTTAAAAAACAGCTTATATTAAACTAATCAATGAGTTACGCTGCCATAAGTTTCATTGAGTGAACCAAAGTTCACTGAGCACAGATGTGAATAATTGAATGCAAACATAAATTATGAATTCCTTTCTTTAAAAGGCCACCTAACTAGGAATATTACCTTGTCTTTTACATAGCAAATCCTTATTTACACCATCCTAATTTTCTTTGTAATTTACAAGGGAAGCAAAATCCATACAAGTATGAATGGCTTTTTAAAATGTACACTTGTCTTCATCTCTGTGTAGTCATAGTTATGAAACACAAAATAAAGAAGGGGCATCTCTGACTTCACGCAAACCATTCTGGCTACACGCTTCTCTCATTGTCCTGTGAGAAACTAGATAGGATGTTGAGAAAATATGGCTAGTTGTGTGTGAATATTATTATCCATGAGATAACCTAAGTGACATTATTAAAAAGATAATGAACAGGTTGTAGTAAATTAGCATTTTCCTGTTTTCTTCTATGAAGAATGTGTCAATTTGTACAGCATATTAACCATTTACATTTGGTATGTTTGGAGACTGTAAGGTGTCCAGATGTAAACAGCTGAATTCAGTTCTGAAATATTTAATGTCCTGGCATTCGTCTTTTTGATAAATCCATTGCTGGCAATGGAGTTTGTGCCAGGTAAACCTGATTTCCAATGAAAAATGGACTACAAAATAAAGGCCTCAAAATCAAAATATTTATTGAATATGTTCTTACACTCAATAAAAACTATTGCAACATTAAATGGTGTGATTCATTGAACCATATGTTTAAATAAATTATGCCACTTGTGGCAGTGGAACTGGAAGAAAATCATTACTGTATGAAAATAAGGATTTTTGGCAGCAAATGCCTCTGAAATATTTGTAGAACTGCAGTCCTGCTTTGTGAGTGTAGGTGTCACTGCTCTGCAGGTTATCTCTGTTTCTTTGCTTTCCATTCTACTTTCACATCAGCTTCTGTACTGTGAAACTAATGGAAGAGCTGACTGCTTTCTGCTAATTAGTGCAACCTGCTCCTACATCTAGGAGAAGTTTTCATGATTAAGATAGGAAGTGAGAAAGTTCTGGTAGGAGGAGCCTTTAGAGGAATATGTACAGAGAGGAGGAAGTTTTATAAGGTGAAGCCAAGAATGATACCTTTTAGGCTTTCTAGGCCTATGGGAGATGGAGATGGATGGAAAAAAAGAAAAAGGTAAAACCTTAAAGTGAAAGTGACCACACTGACTTCCCTTGATAAGTACCTTCCAGGCCTATTAAATTAACCAGCTTCTAAACCACTGGGGCCCAATGGTTTTGGAAATAGATTTGGGCTAAATTTGTAGTCTCCTTTTGTTTCCAACAGATTCAGATGGCTCCTGATGCTAAGATTTACCCTACCACTGCTAGTCTTGGAGACAATAAAGGAGCCCAGACAGGATCCGCTGCTGATGAGTGGTGTTCTTTAGGTAGAGCATTTTGACTGCCTTTAGACACTATAAGTTTTAAATGGCCCTAGTCATCTCAGGAATAAGGATCAGATGCACATGGTACACAACAGATCCCAAAAGGGCTCTCACCTTGGAGTCTATTCATATAACTTCCTTTCACACTTCTGTTTTTGTATTTAGCCTCAAGTCTTTCACCATGCACTATCATTAGAATAGAAATTTTGAGGCCACTGTAAAAATGCAGTTTCCCTCCTTCCCACTGTATTTTTTGTTTATTTTTATAAAATTCAGAATTGGGGAAAATTTTTATATGTACCTCAGTTTACTGCCCTTTTACACATTGAAAATGACTGTTTACTTAAGTATATAAAACATTTACTCATACAGTTTTCATGACTGTATATAGTTTAAAATATAACTTATTTGAATTCAGTTTAGTAATTGAAATTACTTCCAAATGTTTTACCATTTTTTGTTATCGCAAAATAGTACTGCACATTGCTAAACTTTGCAGAATGTAACATGTTAATTTCCAGGCAAGTTTGAGAAACAGGCAATAAATAAACAGAACAGAGTCTCAATATTATGAATTTCACATCTTCTTTGAACTCAATCAGATACAGTAAACACTCAATTGCCGGAAAGGGGGGAAGGAGACGAGGGACTTTTGTCTAATCAATCTCATTTTCAATTTATTTTTTCTGATACATCATTTTTATTATCATGGACGTGATAAAATGAAGTTTTCCTGAATTAAGACAATGTTCTTCACCCTTTCATGTATTAGTTTATTTCCTGATTTGGTATACTCCTAAATCCAATCTTCCCTCAATATTCTCTGGGATAGAAGCACAGGACCCCCCAACCTCAGACCCTAGCTGCCTGCACAGGTACTCACCAGTCTGGGGAGAAAGAGCTGATCCACAGTCACAGCCAAGATCCCCAAGAGAAAAGTCAGCTCTGCAGAAGGGGAAGTAAGGGAGGAGCCAAAGAAGAGGTCAGCAAGATTGTTTACTGAACCAATCCTTGCAAAGACTGAACCTAAGTCCAAAAAGATGGCAGGGAAGGATAAATCAGAGGGCCAAAAAAGTTCACGCACAAAGGGGAAAAAAGGCACAAAAGGGAAACAAGCAGAACTGACTAAGGAAAGAATAAAAATGACTTGTCCACAGAAAAGAGAAAAGCTAAAAATGAAGAGGTCCAGTTTAGCAGGAGAGAAAAATCAAATCTGAGTAACATCATCTACCAAGTCTTTTAACAATTGTCCTTATTATTACTCCTTTCTTGTACAATTCAGAGGAATATTTTTATCAAATGTTGTAAATGCCAGTTTTTTAGTAGCTCTAGAAACACATTTTAAAGGAGGCAATGCCACCTCATCACACTGATTTTTTTAAAAACGTATTGATGAGTGTAAGCCAGTCTTCATTTAGAGTCCTACTTAGCTGAAATCATGTGCTGATTCCATTGGTTGTAGTTTTTTTGTTTGTTTTTTCAGTGTAGCCAGAAACTGATAGAGTGTTGATTAGGAAGGTGTTGACTGTCCTGCATAGGCTTAACATTCCATACATAAGCAGTTTTTATATCATACTAAATGAAGCATAGAAAGCAATTTGGAGTTGTGGTCCTGAATTTTAAAGATCTTATTTTAATTAATCTGTACCCTTGTCTTTCGGTACAATTGTTTCCTAGATAAATCTCCTTGGTGTGTTGGATCTCCCTTTCAAAAGTGTGTGCTATCTGTGACATTGTCATCTGGTAGTAGCATTACAATTTTTTTCCAGTAACTTTGTTAATGAGCTATAAAAGACTGGAAAATGTGCAGTTTTATTAAATATAGAATTAGTGGAACTTTGCCTTGGAAAGACCTAATATCTTGTCCATATTCAGGATACTAGTACTTGATAACCTCTTTTTAGGGAGAGTTGCCTCTAAATTTAAGGAAATCACTGGAATAAGTTCAGAAAAGGATTACAACTACATAATTATTACACTTCAGGCATTTTTAAAATGTGCAAATTGTTTATAGTGTCTGTGCTGATGAACAAACAAGAACTAATACAACTATATATATATATCTATGTAAGGTTCTGATAGTCAAGATACATATACAACTAATAAATATGTAAGACCAAAAACTCTTCACTAATAATGCATTTTGGTGGACCTCCCAATAGAGTTTATCCATCACCATCTATATCTGGGATCAACAGTACATATAGAAAAAGGAGGATCACAGGTTGGATTGCCTTTGGGAAATTGTGAAGCTCTTTTTCAGACCTCAAGCTTCTCGTGAAAGCAAAAGCCCATCTTTGTAATATTAACATTTTGTCAGTGTTGCCATATGGGGGCGAGGTATGGAATACAACTTCCTCCAAAGAATTAAAAATGTCATGTTGAGTGTCACAAATTGAAAGGACTTCTAGGTCACATAGAGGATGATGAATTTTCTCTGATCCTCACAGCTCAAATGTCTCCAAAAATTTTGTGCTAAAGATAAAGCAACTTTAGCTATCTCCATGGTCTAGGACAAAGGTATCAAACTTGCAGCCCAGGATGTGCTCTAAAAGTCATAAGAGGGTGGCCTGACTCAGATTAAAACATGATTGGTAAATGTTTAACAAAGTAAAACTAAAATATAACAATGTCAATTTGTGCTTTTCAGAGTCAGTTCATAGCTCTGTTTTTATTTGAGTTTGTTACCACTGGTCTAGGACCCCAGCAACCCAAAATAAGGTAGAGAATTCCACTGACACCCTCTCACCTCTGCTTTCAGTTTTTCTCGGCTTTTGCATATATAGAGAGGGGAACCCCAGTTGCTGCTTATGAGACTCAACTGTAGCTATGGCCCTTGGCAGGAAAGGGTTTGGACCTCAACTGTAATCTTGAACAAGTGCAGTGTTGACAGAATGGAAGGACTGTTGAGGAGGCTTCAGTTTATTTAGCTGCACAATTCTTAAATTCAGACAACACAATATTGATGTATGCAGAATAATGAACCTCAAATATGATCAAACTGGAAACAAGCTGATATTCATAAGTCAAGAAGCCCCTCTAGAGGTAGGAGAGAATTTTAATTTAGGTATTATGTCTATGGAGTAAGGGCTATTGACTTTGCAAAAATCCCTGCAAGCCTTAAGTGTTTAAAAAAAACCAACTACCCTTTCCCATCTGCATTAAAATTTCATTGGCAGGGAAGCAGAAGATGATTTGGGGAAGTAGTTAGAATATTATCAAATGTATTTGAACCTGTGACAAAGTTTTACTTAGTATCCTATTATATAAAAAGACTTCTGAGGCTAGGAAGGTTGCCAAGGCATTCACCTGATCATTACTTATCTTGATCAAAGTCACAGGAGACTATATACTGAAATAATAAAGCTTTCATTAACATTTTATGTTATGGTTTAAAGACTTTTAATAACATGAAATCAGTTTTCAGAGAATATCATAATCAAGGCTTTCATAAAAAGAAATATTTTATAGTATTTAAATACGCAATTACCCCCAATACTGTCTGCATACATTCACACCATTAACTCACTAAAAATGGGCTTTTAATCTCTAAAATGACCATGGTACCTTTACTTAAATTTTACATACAGCATTATCAGAGTGAGTTTATGAGTGACCAAAAAAACCACCCTCATTGTCTTATAGTCACATTTTTTAAAGGAGAAAAAAAAATACTTCAAATGGAATTACTTCTTCCACTTCATTCACCAGACTTGCCTCCAGATGTCATTTGGCTCTTTCCAAAAAATTAAATGCTACCATTGAGAACATACAAAAGACTGTGAGTCATGTAGGCTGTGAAGGCTGTTCCTGAAGATCTGCTGCAGATGTGTTTGGAGCAATGGCAACATCACTGGAATGACTTAACACTGACGACTTTGAAGAGGGTAACTGACATGGATGTGGGAGTTCTGATGTGTTTATTAGAGAATGGGTCTCATCACTTTGGTGATGATTTTTGTTGTTGTTTTAGTTTTTCCTCTTAAAGACCAGTCTTAACCCTAAATCACTCTGGTCCCAGACCAAGCCCTACTTGGTCACTGTTTGGGCCCTGATTGGCTCAGAATAAACGTAAATAACAATGGTTTCTGTTTTGACCAGAAACCCTGAGGATCTTCCCCTCCCTGACCTATTTTTTTAAGAGGCCATCCTTTGCCTCAGTCATTGAAAGGGCACTCCAGATGGCTCCGGAGGAGAAAGTGAGGGTGGTGACTTTGTACAACCCTCCCTCACTTAAATCCAATTCACTTGCATGTTATGGCATCACCTCCCCGATGTCACAGTCCTCTTTGAGAATGAAG